TTGTGATTGATGATGGGTCCCCGGATGGCACACTAGAAGTTGCAAAGAAGTTGCAGGAGATATATGGAGAAGACAGAATTGTAAGTTTTTTTTCAGAGAAAATTTGGAATATGTACATTAATTTTGAAATACTGGTAAGGAAGTGTTAACATATAAGTGTTTTTAATGCTGTTAATATATAGGTCATTGCAAAATACACATACAGTATATTGCACAACAAGTCTCCACCACCTTTTGGAAGATAAATACAATATTCTCTTGTTTCTTCCCAATATGATCCAGAATAATTGATGAAAAATATGCCAGTATTTTTATATGAAAAAACAAACATTGAAAAGTTAATCTTGTGCATAGTTTTGGTACCAAGACTTATACAAATTTGCCTTTCCCCATTACAGGTTCTCCGGCCAAGAGCGAAGAAGCTAGGTCTTGGGACAGCATATATCCATGGCATAAAACATGCTACAGGAAACTATGTCATCATCATGGATGCTGACTTATCACACCACGTAAGAGAAAAGGAATGACTTATCGTTGTTGTGCTATACATGTATTTTCTTTTTCCTTGATACCCATTGTATTTGGGTTCCTCTTGTTTTGCTGATTATCAAGTTCTCTTCTTGGTTTTTATGTTTTATGAACATAGTCATGCCTACATATAGAAAGCTGACTAGAGCCTAGGATAGGACTAAAGTCAGTAATGTGCTCTTGGGCTTTTAAAGTGTTTTTACCAAAAGGTCTTTTTCAAATTCCTGGTCACCCAAAATAGCTGACTTACCCTTTTCTTCCCATCCTTCCTCATCTTTCCAGCCCAAGTTCATCCCCGAGTTCATCAAGAAGCAGAAGGAGGGCAACTATGACCTTGTATCAGGCACGCGGTATGTGGGAAATGGAGGTGTATATGGATGGGACCTAAAGCGCAAGATTATCAGCCGTGGAGCCAACTACGTTACACAGGTCTTCCTCAGGCCTGGAGCGTCAGACCTGACTGGATCTTTCAGGTAATTGCAAACTGGCAGGTGGTTGCTGGTGGTTCATTTTTTTGCTTTTTAGGATTCCCATAACTGCTTAAATGTAATGACACAACTTTTTTTTTTTTTTTTTAATCTTGAGGTTGTCATTTTGTTACTTTGTATTTGAAAAAATAGCTGTTGGCTTTGTTTTTGAAGTGGAAGAACTTTTACCTTTTGGAGGGTTTGGAGCTTTGATTATTGTTGATATTGTTATTGTTATTATTACTCTTACTATTATTAAGGAATAGTGATGCACAATATCCCATCAGCTACTGTGAGAGTTAGTGTAATTATTGTAAAAGAATAAACTAGGGTAAATTATTTGGCTGCTCTATAGAGGAGGTTACTTTGATCAGTCAAGAAAAGTATATATTTCCAAAGATTAGAACTATGCACAGAATTAACGTTTTTCATCTTTTGTTTGTAGTCTGCCATTAGTTCTTGAAAAGAACTTGACATCAAATGGAAATTTTACTGCATTTTTTTTTTTTTTTTTTTTACATTTATATGAAGTATTTGCAGATACATTATTTTGAAAATAAGATATTATGTGATTTATATTGTCTCTGCTTTCTCTTTTATTTTTACTATATTTTTTCCATGATAAAGATATTAAGTTTCCTTGTTTTTCACATTGATTAGATGTTTTTTTTTATCTACCTCTTTTCTCATTTATTTCTTTGTTCAGTGGTAGAAAAGCCCACAATGAACACACTCAATTTATTGAAAATGAGACAACAGTTTCAAAATCCTCCTGGATTTCATCTCTAGGCATTTGTTCAGTGTAAAATTATGAATAATCCCAAGGTGAGCCACATACACTATATCATCACATGTTTTATAGATTTTTCAAAAGGCATTCAACAAAATTCATTGCAGGCTCTATCGCAAGGATGTGCTGCAGAAGCTGGTGGAGTCTTGTGTGAGCAAGGGCTATGTCTTCCAAATGGAGCTAATTATTCGGGCAAGGCAATTTGGCTTCACTATTGGAGAGGTAAGAGTTGGCTGTTTGCTGAAATAGAGAGGATAGAGAAAGAGGGTTCTGTGAATGTAGTGGAGGGATTTCTTCTTGTACTAGAAAAGAAGAAAAACTGTGCCAATTGAAACAGTCTGCCATTTATTTATGATGGCAGAAATGGGTCACACATATGGATAAAAATCTCATATCCTTAATAAAAGTAAACAAGAAATTCAATGCTATTAGAAATATATTTAACTAAAAATCATTTACAGATAAGAAATGTGATGGATCACTACTGCATTTTATTTCTCATTCGTTTAAATATTCCTTTTCCAGGTTCCTATCAGCTTTGTTGACCGCGTGTATGGTGAGAGTAAGCTTGGAGGATCAGAAATTATTGGATTTGCCAAAGGACTCCTCTACCTCTTTGCCACAACCTAAGCAGGATAGTAACGGATAGTAAAGTGAATTTTCATGAGAAGAGTATGTCTGAGGGAATAGGAGGATGAAAGTGTTTTTTCATTTT